GTAAGGTAACGTTTCAATGAATCATGAATCGCCTACAGTGGCCCATAAGAGGCAGTAATCCCACTTACTCATGCATATTGAGCCTTTTTTTCTTCAGTTAATGGGTCTGTCCTGAATCTTCTTCAGCATATTTTGCTTATGGCCTGTGTTATTTTCTGACCCTGGTTACTAAATGTGCAGTTGATTGTTGGTGTATTTTCCTCTAACAGCACAGATAATCAGAGTGAGATTGTTTATTACAATGTAGTTCGGCTTGGTAGTGATTTTTTAATAAATTAATGAATGAATGAGATATTTATTCTCCATTATAGAATTTGTTTTATGAGCAAAAACCAAGACACACACCTGAAGGTGCACCAAGATGGACTGCAGAGTCATTATCATCGCCATCTCATTCAATGGGTTGTTTGAATACCTTTTTAAAAAATCAATATAATATGCAGTGTCTGTAAGATTTATTATGATAACGCTTCTCAAACAGCAAAAGTAACTCTTGAGCATAATTGTTCATCTTGTTCTGATCTCTCTGTCCAGGTTTTTGTTTCGAGGAGAACTTAAAGACCCTCCCAGCAGCTGGATTCACAAGGTCATTGAGCTCTGTAATGAAGTCTGTCTCGTCTGCCCTCACTATGTGTGAAGGTGCAGAGCTATGCTTCGAGTTAAACACGTCCAATAAAGATTAAAAATGGGAGTTTGCTTTCTTAAGGCTGTACCCGACTAATCAGATTTGGCTGTTCAATACGAAGATTCAACAGTTTTTTTCAGTTTAGCGTGCCGCTAAACTTCTGCATGACTCTCATATTTTAGCCTACCTCACATTTTACTGCCTATCTTTGTCAACTGGGATTGTGAAAACATCCGATTTCCACACAGTCAGAGAAAGTAAAAGTGTGGATCATAGTTTTGTGTAGAAACCCCAGCGCACCACAGAGCGTCTCCGCTGCCGGGCTCCTGACAGGGCTGTCAGCTGACGAGTCCCATCACAGTGGACAGTAGAGGAAGTTGTCCTACCGTCTGGTAAAGAGGTTTAGCCAAATTCATTGACAGTCATCACCCGAGCGGAGATCGTCAGAGCAGCCAAAAGACTGGACTCACACAGTCATGCTGTCACTCTGTGTACAATGACGCTGCTAAAAAACCAAGGTACAAACAAAATGACAAAGTGCGTCAAAATGTGAGTCGACTCAGGATCTTCTCGACTGATGACTCGTATCATTGATTCTTTGGTCGCAGGCTAACAAGGATGTGAGTTTGAACTTTGCATACTTTGTATGGAGAAAGGACAGAATTTAAAGCAGCCGTGAGACATGTCGCACCTTCCTTAAGGGTCGTCGGTTTGAGTGAAATAGCTCACTCTGTCACTCACTCTCCCAGATAAACAAATTGATGGCTTAAAGGAAAGTCACACCACCCATAGCTCCTAGCTCTACTATTCTTTTCTTTTTGCCGTCAGGTGTCTGTTGTTGAAATATCATATCTCAGTGGTTTCCAAAAACCAGATCTCCATGTCTTTTGTTGAGTCAACAACTGAGTCATCATCGTCCAGCTTCCCCTTCACACACACACACACACACACTAACACTATCCCAGGACAATCCAGACTTTCACCGTCACTCTGAAATCAGAATGGAGAAAGATGGTATCCGTCTCCCTGCCAAGCCTGACACTCTTACTGCTGCTGACTCTACAACAGCTCACACACTCACTTCTTCTTTCTCCTCTCTGGACACGATATCGACTGGTCAGATTAAAGCTACACTTGACCATTTTGTCCCTACGCCTTAGAGAAATTCTCACCAAAGGGGTTTCGACTTATTTCTCCTCTCCCACATCCCATCAAACATCAAAGGCTGCGATATGAGCTAATAAGCTTCACTTTCAAAGGCTCTGTCACGGTCCGCATTGGTGATGTGGGAACTCTTTGGGAACCAGACTCCATCTTCTGCGTATACTTACAATTATTGGGGATAAAGATGTTGGTAGTGTGCAAGAGCTTTATTCCAAACTGAGATGTATATAATTTGATTTTAAAAAAGCATCTGAATTTAACTGCTTGTGGTCTTTCTCACCTATTGTGGGTTAATTTTTTGGTGCATTGAGTTGTGTAGCTCAGTTATCATGTGTTAATACCAAGGATGCAGAGCCATCTACGGGATGTTCTTGTTAATGTTCTTGTTAATGTTTAAAGCAGATCACAGAGGGTCAACAGCTATGAATGAAGCCTTGTTTCATAGTCATGACCCTGCCCTAGTTGTAGTTAGGCTCAGGAGATTAAAAATGTGAGGGCAAATGTGTATTGTGGACTGGAATGTGTACGTTTGCTGTTCAAATGGCCACAGGATTTTCTGCCTCTTTATTAACCATGCATTACTCTCTCCCACATGTCTGCATTCACACATTTATTTGCATGTTGTAGTACTTTTATTTCATATTGTTACAGATCACACAAGTCAAATAATCGCATTCAAGGTGGGAATTTTCTTTTTGTTTGTATTCTCCTTGGTAGAAAACCATCTAAGGTAAATCTATCTAGCAAATTAGTTTAATTAGCACTTGAAGTTTGGGATCGGTCAAACTGTTTCTACCCTCAGTACTATCCACTGCTGCCAACAGTGTCTTATCGCAGGATGATGGAATATTCAGCAACAACATGCCTGACTGCTGTGTGACTGACCGCATGGCACCGAATGAATGAATGAATGTCTGAATAATCACTGCATGGGAAGCCTCAGCTCGATGCTACGTGCGTAACAAGTGTTGGGAGTTAATCTTCCAGGTTGTTTTCAAAGGTTAAATCAATGTCTGACAGAAGAAATATTTGGTTAGTGAACAAAAGACTTTGCGTTCTGCTCCTATTTGTCTTTCAGCAGTCTAAAACGCTGGTTGGTTTAAGACTGGTGGTTGAAGTTCTCACCCTGCCACAGTGATACCACACCCAGCAGAGCCCCATTGGCTTGGTGTTAAGTTACTCTTGAAGATGGGTTGAAATACTAAATACAATTTTCTTGCTCTTACATTTTGTCCCTGAAGTAATTGGTCTGTAATGTCCTGGTGTACATTTTAAATTTCCCAGCGTGTATTTCCGGGTGTTGGATTACATAAACTAAAATTACACTTATTTGCATATGAATTAGTCTGATATTGCTGAATGCACACAGACAGGAGAAACAAGTTGTTCTTGTACGTGTGTCACATTATTATTTTGATTAACCGCACATATTTTTCTTTGTTCTGCTGAACACTTGAACCAAAGCTGTTGCTCTGTGTCTCCCTTTTGTCCTTGTTACACACTGTACTGCCTTTGTGTTGCAGATGAAGAAGTCTCGCATATTTTTGTCGTCACAAGTAGGAGGATTAGGCTCAGCTTTTCTGACAATCTCAAACGTGGGAGGACGGGTTCTCCCTAATTTATCAAACACACTTGAGCTAGATTAAACATGCAGTAGTGCATTTTAAAGTTAATTTGATGACCCTCTTATACTGCAATAATGGGATCGACTTACTGAATTATGTGGATGACAGATAAGAAGATTATGTTGACTCAGAAATATTTTATAATATTACTGTTTTCACTTTCTTTTACGTAAGTAATGTCGCATCATGCAGCCACCTCAGCCAGGGAAGCCAAATGGCAGCCATGCAAATCCTGCGATGTTTTTCAGATAAGAGGCAGAGAGAATCAGCTCCTCGCTCTGGTATACTGTGTGTGTGTGTGTGTTGATGTAAGTTGATATGTTTTGCTGTTTGCTTCATATTGAATCTGCATCCAGACAGAACAGGTCAGACCTAACCACTTACATACTGTATTTATCTTTTTACAGTATCAGCACCGTCTCCTCAAAGGCAGTGGACAATGTTTGCTTTGTATTTTATTTATTTTTTATAAATCTCTGCTATGTGCTGTGACCAATCATAGTCATGCTGAAGCCATTACTGAACTTACTTTACATAGTTATTGGCCCTATAGGTAATCTCATTGTCCTGCAGGCTGCAGGCCGATACAATCAAACCAGCGCTAATGAGACTGCCAGACATCCAAGCAGTTAAAGTTTATAAGGACAGAGGATTTTATGGCTCCAAGAAAAAAGACAAGAAGGCATCTGTTTTAGGTACAAGTAAAATGTTGTTTACTTAGTCTGGCTTGTTAGTAGAAGTTGCTGATTTACATTTTGAAAGCTTTGATGTTCAAAATGTAAAATATAAAAAGACCATCTGTAGACTCACGCATCCACTTACACATAGTGATCTGCATCTTCACAGCAGCAGGAGGATCAACAGAGAGAGAGAGAGAGAGATTTCCTACAGGTATTTCAGCAAAAGTTTACTCATCCAAATGTTCCAGCGGACCAAATTAACCTCCACTCCTCAATTGTTTTTGTTCAGGCTGAGGTGATGGACTGCAGGGCTTGCAGGGTTTTCTCATTAGTGGGGCTGTGTTTCCGACTGCGTCGTTATATATCAGTGGTGTGTGTTTTAGCTCTGCAGTGCTTCTGATGAGCCGGATAATCGAGGAGATGTAGCTCTAATGTGTGCAGTCGGCAGCACTCTGATGGATATCCTTTCTTTTGAAGAGCATTTATAAGATGCTCATATGTACTGCAGAGTAGCAAAATATCACATCACTAGCTTTTCTTTTTTGTTTTAACATTGTAAAAAATATTTGCTGTAGCTTGTTTCTGATCCGTGTTGCAGCGACTGGAATGACTTGCCATTCCAGTCGCTGTTCAGATGGGTTTCTATGGTAAAATGTCTCTGAGGAAAAATAAATGTATATATATATATGTATATAGACAGTGTGTCTCATGCCAAAATGTTTTTTTTTTTATATCCATAATGCTCTGGCAGCATATTGTATTGTTTAATATAAGGCTCTTTATCTTTTGAATCACACTGTGCACCAAAGATATTATTTTAAACACTATATATATATATATATATATATATATTTCAACCATGAATTTTGCAAAGCCTTACACTCTTTTTCTGTGTTTCCCCTTCAGGGTCTAACTACGCCATGTCTAACGGGGGCGGGGCACCAAGCAGCACCACCCACCTGTTGGACTTCCTAGAGGAGCCCATCCCTGGTGTGGGGACCTACGACGACTTCCACACCATCGACTGGGTCCGCGAGAAGTGCAAGGACCGCGAGAGGCACCGGAAGGTGAGGAGACTGAGGCTGGCCAACAATGCAACCTTAAACCTTTAAAGTTTTCAGTATACTTCAAACGAGCTAGTTTGTACGACGTCGTCCGACCGAGGCAATTCTTTGGTTTGGGTACACGTACACACTTGTTACGCTGCCAGTTTGCTTCATCAGAACTTCTTGTCAGATGGTTATTTGTGATTTCCGCCGACAAACCCGCCTTTAAATAATCCAACAAGCACCTTTCTGAAGCATACTGAGGCCTTTAAGCCTTAAAACATATCAAAGGGAGTTTTGGAGCTCAGAATTGGTTTGCAATAGCAGCTTCAAATTGACACTCCGCTCTCACAACCTCGTACCTCAGTCTATTTCCCGCTCATACAGCTTTTCCACATTAGCTGGTGTCAGCGAAAAAAAATCCTCTGCTGCACAGGAAGTGATGTATCACGCGCTTCCTGTGCAGCAACAGTGTGTTTTGGATCACACAAAAGAAGAACTAAGTCGTTAGGATCAGCAGTTTTAGCTTTAATGGTTTCACAGAGAAGGAAAACAGTGCAACTCACCAACAGAAACTGAAACTTTATAAACAGGAAGTCCAACGAAAAAGAATTTAACATCAAAGCTATTGCCAGTCTTCAGTAGCAGTTGGTGTTCATGCTCAGTGTAGAAATCTCATTGTACAGAACTCATGAATGAACCAGAATGAGTAAACACACAATAAACTTGCCCTACATCTCCCCGTCACTGATACAACCTCTCTCTGTCAAAACTTTTATCCAAATATTGACACAACTTTACAGCCTGCTTTCCAGAAGTGATTTAGTGCAGCGCTCCCGGAAATAATAACTCTAAGAATTTCCATGTTACATGAATACTTTGGCAAACATTGTTTTTAGAACCTGGCCTTACCTGGAATGCAAATAGTGCAATTAACCATTTTATTGAAGCAACAGTGGCCACTATAGTAGATGACTGAATTGCTTATCCCTGGGGAGCTGGTATAAACATACTGCATTACTTTCAGCGTAAGTAACTCAATCCATGTTCATCAAATTGTTTTTAGATCAACAGCAAGAAAAAGGAGTCAGCATGGGAGTTCACAAAGAGCCTGTACGACGCCTGGTCTGGGTGGCTGGTGGTGACGCTCACTGGCCTGGCCTCAGGTAAAACACATGGACACACACACACAGTACAAGCATGCTCACGCTGCCATTATCTCTTCCGCTGGTGATTCTCACATGCTTCGCCCGAGGCTCAGTATTTCTCTTGTTTTCTCTCTCTGTCTTTTGCTCTCACTCGCTCACAAACATAAACTAGCATTTCCTTTCTCCTGCAAGAGCCTCGCCAGACAGTCCTCAAAGCAGCTGTAATTTACACAAATGATTTATGTTTCTGTGGCCACCAAAAGAGAGAAAACCAACAGGCCTTTGTACTGATTTAGTTAAGTTGGTGTAAAATGTGTAGAGAGGGCTTCTCTAAGGTCCAGGTTACAAAGGGAACGTATGGACAAAATACGCCATGGTGATCCCCTGCTCATATACAAATAATCATTTTATTAAAAAAATTAAAGAGGTCTGGAGTACTGATACACATATTTCTGTCTAAAAGAGCCTACGAAACAGCTGATAAAGGCTCACCTAATCTGGAACATATGAATCAT